AAAATATTTCAACAGGTGGGGAACCCGTCCTTGATTGGGGAATCTCCGCCCCCAAAATTTTGGAGATGGAGGCGGGGATGGGAGAAAAATCCCCAATGGGACGGGGATAAGGATGGCCCCACGACCCAGTCCTGCCCAGTTGCCATCTCTAATCAAACCTCTACTCATATAAAGAGATTATTAATACCTATTATATGGAGATTAAATTTACAATTAAAATAAAATGTCATGCCAATATGAAGATTAATCATCGATTTCATCAATTAAATAGCTAGTTATAAAGATTATGTCATTTTACCAATTCAAACTTAAATTAATTGGTATGACATTTTCAAACAAAAAAAAAACTATGGAGATTTGTCCGAAGAATTTTAATTTTGTGACTATGTATGAAAGAGTATATCTTATCCATTCGTATGACATGAACATTTATGATTCACACAATAATTTAAAGAACATATAAGTCGGACCATCATTTGAAAATTTGAACAATTTTTAGATAGTAAAGGTTATGCCTCTATTTAACTGTCAACAGTCGAGCAATCTCGATAGAAACATGACATCGAGCTCAAGAGCCTCGGAGGACCCGCACCGTCTTTGGCATAGACAAGAGGTGGTTTTGCTCCTCACGTTCCAACAGAATCCTTCTTTTAGCTCATAACTCTCTTTCTATTAGGTTTTTTTTTTCTTTTTAATTTTCTAATGCTCATCGACAAACTCTTCTATAAGAATTTTTGTCTTTTTGATTCTTCCATTCCATTCGATATCTTTTTTTTAGTATCTTTTAAATTTAAATTTTTAAATACAATATACCATAATATAAAGTGGATAAAATCTCACTGAATAACCTTGAATAACCTTTTACTTATTTGCTTATATAGTCGAAGTAAAGGTATGTCAAATGGAAAAGAGAAAAAAAAATTTGTAACAATTCAAAAACTAAAATAAAAAAAGTAAGATGATGCAATTATATATCATTGTATTATATTTGGTCTTTCTATTTCCCTCTCTTTTCGTCTGCGGTTTACCCTACAAATTTTTCGTTTTTGTTCTTTCTTTTATTTTAGTTTTTAAATTTTCAACCTTTCCTTCATATAATATAATGTAACTTTTTAAAGATTTAATTGCAAATAATATATGGCCGGGTACGTAATAATTAATATATGGGGTATTAGGTAAGGTAGAAGAACAAATAAAGGAAAACCTAGTGATTTATTATATATGAAATCAAAAAAATATATATTATACAGTTTGACATTATTCCAATGCCAGGTGGCAGGTCCAGGTCAAACAATATCTTTATCCCTGCCTTCCCAAGGAAATCGAAAAATACGAGCGGCGCCAGTATATATATATATTTTTCAATAATTTCATTTTCTACTTGCTCATCAGAATATAATTGAATTTAAATAGAATAAAAAAGTATTAACCACTAAGCTTCACCTATGTTCATTGAGTAAATAATTTATATTATTTACTATATATTTAAAGAAACACTACATAATTAACTCATACCCATGAATTTTAAATTTTAACAAACTTCACAAACTAAAAAAAAAAATTTTTGTCAAAAACAAATATACATAGCCTCATTTATTTAATCAGAAAAAAAAGTTTTATGTCTATTTAATTTTTGAAGTTTTGAAAATAATACATTATAAGAATTAGAAAATAATTATAAATAATACATCGTTTTTAGAATCATTTGATTAATAATTTACTAATGAAAAGATAATTATAGTCAATTTGAACATAGTTCAAACATATTAAGATATTTATATCTAATTTGTGAATTCAAATCTCTCATTCGAAATGATTTATTTTATGGTCAGACTATTTTTATTGCCATTAAAATATAAAGAAAACAAAGTTTTATAATTTCAAAACCATTTTTTGTGGTAAAATCCTCCCTTTTTCAACTCTCAGACTCCCTTATTTTCTTTGCAGAAAAAAAAATATTTATTTATTAAATTGTTTTATTGAAGTCCACTTAAGTTTTCAGTTTTCACCCATTATAATTATAGAACATTAAAGAGAGTCCTCTTTTATTTATTTTTTTTTTCTTGACTAAAAGAGAGTCCCTTAGTTTAATTTGGGGGTTAATGAAAAGTTAATATTTTAAACAGAATAGGTTCAAACAAAATTGGACAATCCAAGATTAAAAAAAAAGGGCAATCCAAGTTTAACAATATTTAAAATGATTTTGTTTGAAAGTATAATGGCTGCTCTTTTCATATTATAGTCACATAATTCAGCTCTGTATGTCTGTTTGTTTCGTCTGTTCATTTGAAATTTTCATTTTCTCATTGTTTCCCATTGCAAATTTTTTCCACCAATGTATACTATATTAAAAAGGTAGGATCTAGGAAAAACATTTTTGGACACTTTTGCCCTTTACTAAATTTACAAATTTACAAATTATGCCATTAATATATTATTACAAATATTAAATTAATTATTAATTGTTAATTATTAATTATCAATACTATAAATGCATGGAATATAAAAGGTTAGAATGCAAAAAGTTTTCCAACAACATAAAATTAATTTTTTCTTTAATTAAAATTCATACTAGAATTTCAAGAGTTTTAGAATTTGAAAAGCTTTTGTAACGTTTTATCCTCTACTACTATAAAAATAGGCTTTCTTCTACACGTTTTTCACAAGTTTCAATACTTTTTTATTCTTAGTTCCTTGAAACATCTCTGATTCAATCTTGAAAACATCTCGAGATATTTGTGACATATTCATCAAGTTGCAAGGGAGGCATATGTTGAATCTACATATCTCGAATACTAAGTTTGTGACATTACCATTCCACAATTTTACAAAGTTGAATAATAGTATCTGTCAAGCAATCTGAGCATATTTACTCTAAAAGATGAGTGTATAGTAAGTACTTGGATTTTTTTTGTTACTATTGTTATTTTTCTAATTAGTGTGTTTTTTTATTTGGAATGTTTCTTTTTTTAGCAATTTTATTTAGTTTAGGATTTGGATTTTTTTTTGTTACTAATGTTTTTTATTGTTTAGTGTATTTTTTATTTGGAATGTTTTTTTTAGCAATTTTATTTAGAATATTTGTTTAAAATATAGATAATTACAAGCTCATGTTCTTATTGTTGAAAAAAAAACAATCATAGAAGTCAATATATAAAAAAAATGTTTAATTAATAAATTAATTATAAACAATAATTTGTATAGAATCGTAAAAGGTGGAATATAAAACTTTTGGTCATTTTATTTTCTAATAATAATTTGAAGAATTTTTCTTTAATAATTTTAATTATAATATAAAATTAAATCAATAAAATAATTTATATTTAGTTAAAAAATTCAACATATATGACCCTTGCCCTAAAAAAATATTTAATAAACAAACAAAATATTAAAAAAATAAAATAAAGCACTCATATTAGGTTGAAATAATACAAAAATAAAAATATTAAAATACCTATTTACTTTTTTATTAATATATACTTTTTTCCTTTACTTTTAATTTATTTATTTACAAAATATATCATTAACAATTAATTATAAATATTATATTTAAAAAATAATTATAAATAGTACATTTTATTATTAGTAATTAGCTGCCAATAATAATAAATATATATATAATTAATCTTAATTATTTTTTAAAATAATTATACTTAAAATATTTTACGTGAAACTATATAAAATTTTAAGTTACCTTATAATTAAAAAAAAATTATAGGTGCATTGCACGTGATAATACACTAGTAAAAACAAAGGCATCACACGCCCTGGAGTTCAACAATCTTGACAATTATTTTGGAATTAATTTTTAATATTAAAAATAAGTCTTCTTTTTATTATTGAAAAGGGTAATATCACCAATTGATCTTTTTAGCAGACTAAATGCTTAGCAATTAATATGCCTAACAGGGTATGATCTCAATTCTCACATTTTATAAGTTGTGGAAAGATTACAAACATGTCGGGTGGAGATTCGAACTCACACTCTCTTGATTGAAATACATGCTAACTACTATTGAACTATACTCAATTTCGCAGTATAGTTTCAATTGAGTCTATAGAGTCAGAGAAGTTTTAATTAATTTAGTTAAGCTAGTTTCTAATTTAATTTTTATGATTTTAGGTTTAATTTTAATTTAGTCTATGATTTAAAAAGTAAGTCATGTATTAAAAGAGTAGGGTGTAAAAGCAAGTCGGCATTGGGGTTTTTCAAGCCTAATGGCTGACCAGGAAAATTCGCCAATGTACGTTGCCACCCGCTAACCCATCCAACCGTACGCTTCTCTCTCTCTCAATTTCCTCCCACCGTCTTCTTCTTTTTCTCCATTTCCCTTTATGACCTTCTCCTCTGTTTCTTCTCTTCTCCAATGGCCGCATCGAAACCCCCAAATCTTCTTCTCCCATTTCTTCTCTCTTTCCCCCTTCTTTTCTACTCCACATCTGCCATCGATTTCGTCTTCAACGGCTTCAATTCAACCGATGTCTCCCTCTACGGCAACGCCTCCATCGAATCTCGAATTCTCACTCTCACCAACCAAACAAGTTTCTCAGTCGGTCGCGCTCTGTACCCATCCAAAATCCCCACCAAGGACCCCAATTCTTCTCGCGTTTACCCCTTCTCCACTTCCTTCATCTTCGCCATGGCTCCCTACAAGGACATTCTGCCCGGTCATGGCCTCGTTTTCATCTTCGTCCCGGCGGCGGGAACCGAAGGAACTAGCTCTGCCCAGAATCTGGGTTTTCTCAACTTTACGCTCAATGGGAACCCCAACAACCACGTCTTTGGAATTGAGTTCGATGTGTTTGCCAATCAAGAATTCAACGACCCCAACGACAATCATGTGGGAATCGACTTTAATTCCCTGACCTCGAACTCCACCGAAGAGGCTGGGTTTTGGTCGGACGGCGATCGGAGTGGACAGGATTCGTTCAATAGACTGAAGCTTAATAGTGGCGAAAATTACCAAGTTTGGATCGACTACTCCGATTTTCTGATGAACGTCACCATGGCACCGGCAGGGATGAAAAGGCCGCGACGGCCGTTGTTTAATGTCTCTGTCAATCTCTCTGAAATTTTCATCGACAAAATGTTTGTGGGGTTCACGAGCGCCACCGGGCAGTTGGTACAGAGCCACAAGATTTTAGCCTGGAGTTTCAGTGACACCAATTTTTCGTTAAGCGAGAGTTTGATCACCACTGATTTGCCCTCCTTCGTCCTCCCAAAAGATCCAATCACCAAATCGAAATGGTTCATCGCCGGAGCGACAGTCAGCAGTTTCCTCATCTTTTGTTTTCTCGCAGCGATTTCGTCGATTTTGATCGCCGGGCACCGTAGGAGAGCCAGAGCCAGAGCGGAAATGGAGGATTGGGAATTGGAGTATTGGCCGCACCGAATCACATATCAAGAAATCGAGTCGGCGACAAAAGGGTTTGCAGAAGAAAACGTAATCGGAATCGGAGGGAGCGGGAAAGTGTACAAGGGGGTTTTGGCCGGAGCCGGAGGAGGTTCAGAAGTCGCAGTGAAGCGAATTTCCCACGAAAACGGCGGGATCCGAGAGTTCTTAGCCGAAATCTCGAGCATAGGAAGATTAAAACACAGAAATCTAGTGAGTTTAAGGGGTTGGTGCAAGAAAGAAAAAGGGAATTTCTTACTAGTGTACGATTACATGGAAAATGGAAGTTTAGACAAATGGGTATTCGATTGCGAGGAGAGAAACATGTTAAATTGCGAGGATCGAATACGAATATTGAAAAACGTAGCCTCCGGGGTTCTGTATCTACACGAAGGCTGGGAATCGAAGGTCCTCCACAGGGACATCAAAGCGAGCAACGTGTTACTGGACAAGGAGATGAACGGAAGGCTGGGAGATTTCGGGTTGGCCCGAGTCCACGCCCACGGCCAAGTGGCCAGCACCACACGAGTGGTGGGCACCATGGGGTACATAGCGCCGGAGCTGATCCGCAGCGGCCGAGCATCGGCTCAGTCGGACGTGTTCGGTTTTGGGGTTATGATTTTGGAAGTGATGTGCGGGCGGAGGCCGATAGAGGAGGGGAAGACGCCGCTGGTGGAATGGGCGCGGCGGCTGGCGGTTGAAGGGGAACTGAGGGCAGCGGTGGACGAGAGGGTGAGGAAGAAGGGGGGGTGGAGCGAGGAGGAAGTGGAGAGAGTGCTGCATTTGGGGCTGTTGTGTGCGCACCCTGACCCGGCGGCGCGCCCCACGATGAGGCAAATTGTGAAAGTTTTGGAAGGAAATTTGGAAGTGGACCAGAATGAAAGCGAGAGCGTGAATGCTTATTTGCTTCAGAGATTGAAGTCACAAGAAATGTGGTCCGATTCTTCCGTTGGTTTTGGGCATAAATTGCATCCTACTTTTGAGGATTTTCTGCAGTCTTCTTCAACTTCCCTCTCTTGGTCTACTTCTATTGTTACCGGCAGGTGAAGGATTGAAGTCCCTTTTTTCTTTTTATTGGTTACATCAATTATAGATTGTCTGAGACTCGAGAGTCATTGTTATTTCTCTACTGGACATAAAAGAAGTAGGGCTTCTGAAGAGTGTTTTGTTTTGGCTATATGGCCGTTTGTTTGATAGAATAATTTTCTAAAAAACGGCTCATGGAGTTTTTTTTTTTTTTTTTTTCCAAATATTACGTCTCAAATTTGAGGTGGTTACGCAGAAATAATTTTACCAGCATATGACTCACAAAGGGGGATGAGTTGAAGAAATTGAGATTATTCACCAATCAATCTGAAGAATAAAGATATCGAAATCCATAATAACCACAATGGGCCTTGGGAGCGATCCGGTGTGGCCCAAATTATCGAGTTGATGGGTATTTGTGGGGAGGGAAGGGCCCAACTCGGCCCATACGGCAATTTGGAGTCAAATGAAGAAGCTTCATGTGCATTCTGCCGACAAAAAACAGACTGTGGTTCAAATCCAACATGAAGTGATGCACGTTGGTTGAGACTTCCTTGTCGTGGTGCAAATTATTGTCCCCCTCTAACTTAATTATTTCTTCAATCCATCCTGACTGAGTATCAGAGCATTTTCTCCTCTTTTGTATGGATTGTGAGGGTGTATTTTATACAAAGTGGGAGAGAGGATTTTGACCTCATGATTAGAGACATGTGTCAATTATCATCGAACTAGCTCGTATCGGTTAACATCATGGGTGTAGCTATATCCTTGCTTATTTCTCTTCTTAATTTTCTCTATTTCCCCTTTAAGAAAACTTAACAGTTGAGAAATGACGTGAGATTTGAATAACCTTTTAAATTATAATATTCCCTTTAAAAAAAGTTATATTTGGTAATTATTTCTCATTTATTGTCCTTTCCAAAAAAAAAAAGAGACAAAAAATACATGGTTACTATTTCATGTGTTTCTCAAAAAAAAAAAAAAAAAAAATTAGAAACCATGAACAAAAATGTTAAGCAATAATTTTATCAAATAGACTCGTGACGATTATACACATGAGGATGGAGTGGAGCAATACAAGCCACGTTTAAAGATTTAAAGGACAGTGTAGGTAAATGTTGTTTTCATAATTATGAATATAGGGAACCCCCTCACATTTTAGCACAACGTTGCTAGGTTTCTAAAAAGGACATTGGACAAACTTCATTCTTTCTTATTATTAATAATTATAATTCATGTTCCTTATGTTCTTTTTCTCTTTCTTTGGCAATTTTCAAAGTGACAAAATGCATCGTGATTGTTAATTTATTTGGATCTACCCAACTCATAATTTTTTCTTAACCATGTTTTCTTTTTCTAAATTTGTTTGATTTAATTAATAGCTAGCTAACTCTTTCTACCTAACTTGCTTATCTAATTAAATTAGGTCAAATTTAATTTTATTCATTATATACCTGAGATGTGACAATGATATAGTATAGGTATCGCTTAAAATAATTGTGATTGATTTTTAAAGCGATAGTTGCAAATATGACCAAAAAAAATAGTAAAATTATCAAAATTATCAAAAAAAATTAATTTTTTCAAATATAACACTTTTAAAAGAAAAACGGAGATTTAATTTTAAAATGACAATTACTTTACTGAAATATACATCTGTAATAATTTGACTACCGATATGAATGCCTGATATACCTACAATATTTATCTAATATACTACTGATATGAATGTCCATACAATATATATGTGATGTACATTTAATATATTATTGATATGATTGTTTGACATATTACTGATATAAGTGAAAATTTTTGTTATGTTTGAAAATTTTAAACATAAGTGACATATTTTGAAATACATAAATAAAAAAATTTGCTACCCATTGCAATTTTCTATTTTTAAATGCCGTGGTATTGAAATTAACATCAAAATTGACATAGTTCAAATTATTTAATTTATATCTACGACATGTGAGAGAAAAATGATTTTTTATATTGAGATTACTAAAAAGCGAGAGTTTTGTGATTATTTAATAAAAATACTATTTTGTTTGTCATTTGAATGCATTTCTTATTTCGTTAGTGTCTTGAAACTTTTATTTATTTATTTTATATTTTGTTAAATAGCTGTTTAATGTAAACTAGTAATTGTTATGGTCTTTTTGAGTGTCTTGAAACTCTTATTTATTTATTTTATATTTTGTTAAATAGCTATTTAATGTAAACTATTTAATGTTAAATAGTTTTTATTTATAAAAAGAAAAGTTTCATTTATTCTATGCAGTAAAAATTCTCACATAAACATTGAAAACTAATTTTTTCAAAATGTGTTGAGTTTATTAATATTTAATTAATAACATATTCTTAAGTTCTAAGACAAACAAAATATATTTGCATCTCTCTCTAATCGAGAGTTTAAATTCACTGTCTCTTAAGAAAAATTAATAACATGCTTCTAGAAGATTTATTTAGAAAAACAAAAACTTATAGTAAAAAATAATGGTTAGATGAATAATAAAGTAAAAATATAAAATTTAAATAAATCATTGGGAATTCAGTTTATTCTCTCTCTGCGAACTTCTAAAAGCTTCGGTAGGAATCGCAGGATATAGGAAAAAGAGGCTTAAATTAGTTAAATTCCTTCAGAAAAAACAGACAAAATCCTTTGGTGGTTGATTATAAATATAAACCTTGTTTCTAAATTTCAACTTTATCCAATCTTTTGGGCAGTATACTAATTACAATTATATTGACTAAAGCTTGTATTAATATTTTTAAATAAAGTAATAATAAATTTTATTTATATTATTACTTGGTAGTAAATATGTTTTTATTTATATCAGTTTATTTAATATTAACATATAATAATTAATTAAAATAAAGTTAACCAGTATGATTTTTATTAGAACCACCAGCATTAATATAAGATATTATTAAATTTTATTATTCCAATAATGAAGAATTAATTTTGACAATTCCCTTGATATTAATTCATAATAACAAAAGTAAAATTAAATGCTTTATAAATTATATAAAAATGTAATATTTTATAATAAAATCATTTTTGCTTTTACTACGACAGTTGGAGCTAGAAATTTGAACTCACGCTCTTTTAGAGGATATATATCTTAATTGATTGATCTAGGTTCAGGTTGGCATAGTAAAATCACATTAACTAAAAAATTAGTATAATTTTTTTTTATTAGAAATATAAATAAACAAAGAAAGATTAAATTTGTAAAATAATTAATAAAAAAATTACAGGTCTTATTAATAAGGAGATAAAGAGTAAAAGATATAAATAATTATTGGTCAACATGAGCTTCAATAATTGTCATCTATCTTTGGCTAGGAAGTCGCGAGTTTCAATCCCCCATCATACTTATTGTATTAAAAAAAATTATTGAAAATGTGTGGGGCCTGCAGAGTAAAAAATGAAAATGAGATTGATAAGTTGCACTAGATTTACCTTTAGGAGGTGATCGCGGATCAGAAACATGTATCAATTATTATTAAGCTCAGCTCATATTGACAATTTAAATATATAACTTATATGTTTAAAACAAATTTCATCATTATACTTTCAAATTAGTGTCAATTTAACTTACGGACTTTAGTATGTAACAACGACTTAATTCACTTAATCTAAAAGTTTGTAACAATTTAATCCTACGGTATAAAATCTCATCAAAATTAAGTGGCGATTTTTATTATATAATATTTTAGTATTTGTAATTTATAAATATATTTGATCTCCCATCTATTTATCACTATATCCACCTATATACATATAAACTCATTGATTCAATTTTTTTTAGGAGACACTAAATCAACATTGTTACATATTAACAAAAATTTCCACAAGAATTATTACAAATTTTAAACTATACCTATTAAATTTTTACTTACGGAACTAAAATGTTACTTGAATTTAATCATTATAAATGAAAGTTCAAAATATATTTTTTAACGTAATTTAAAAATTTCAAACCGTCAAAATGGCAAATTTTAAATATTGATCATTGGAATCCAGTCTCTCTCTACAAACTTCTGAAAGCTTCGGCAGAACCGCAGAACACAGGAAAAAGTTTGTTACTTTTTAATTTGAAAAAATGAACTTATCATATTGATTTATTTCTCACCATTTAGTTATGGATTAGACTAGTGGAGTTCTATTTGTCGATGGCGCGACGGAATCTCACGCGCCAGAAACTGCCAAAAATTGGGCAATAGCGGTGGCGAGGCGCCGCGTAATTGCCACGTCGGATTTAAAATTTACAAAGATCCCATGATCGCCACAAATAATAAGGTACAATGATTTAAATTTGGTAGGGAACAGGTGGGTCCCAGAAGTGCTATAGAAATTAAAAATATCGCTGATCAACGTCAGGGATTGATCCACGTAATGATGGATGAGATCAATGTCCAATATTGGTGGCCCCACCACTCACACCGGATTAAGATTTTAGGATAGAATGCATCTCCCATCTGCTGCGTCGCTTTTAATCATTGCTCCCACCCATTTCATTTTTTCTTTTCACAAACTTGGCCCTGGCCCCACCCTTCTTTACATTCTGGCCCCCAACATTTCTATTTAATTTCAATTTGGTTCCAATAATTTTAAAATTTCCAATTTCCTTAGTATGGTGTGGTAGGGTAAATCTCCAAAATTATTATTATTTTGTTGTTAAATCATAATTTTAGTTCTTAAAATGTTAGTTAAACAAAATTTAAAATTTTTTGTCTTATGTGTAATGGGTTCTTTAACCTTCAATTTTGTGTATAATATTCTTTGATCTATTTAACTTTTTAAAAAATTGATGGACCTATATTCAACAAGAAACTAAAAGTTTAAGATTATATTAGATACATAATTTGATTTTATATTTAAAAAAACATTAATTTAAAAATAGGTTGAATACGTTATAAAATCGAAAGTTTAGAGTCAAATTGACACAGGTAAGTTTTAAGATTTATGAGACATCAAATTAAAAATTTGAGGACCTATTTAATATATTTTTTTTTTTGAGTACACTGACCTATTAAACACAAACCTAAAAATTTGGAGGTTAAATTTATAATTTAACATTTTTTTAAATAGTCTATAATAAATAATTTTTTATGTGACTTATGTACTTTATTTATTAAAATGTTAATTTTTTATAAATATTTTTTATTTTTCTTGTCGTAAATTACTTTATTTTCAAATATC